TAATCCAAAGAGTAGTCTGCTGATAGATTTCCTAGTTTTTTCAGACCCTGGCTGAGCTAATGTTCTTTAGATTTGACCTGGAAAGCCCTTCGTATGTGTTTTGTAGCTTTGCAAGCCACTACTAATGTACCTTCTCCACTTGGGCCACCCACTGAGATTTCTGTCCTGGGTTTCCTAAGCCAAATACCCTGGTGGGATGGTTAGGTGATGTGGATGGATGGATGTTTGTGTAAGGGCTGAAAATGAGTTTTCTAAGATGAGAGGGCAGGGCAGTTGTACTCTGAAGGCCTCCTCCTCCTCTGCTTGGGCTCTTCCTAGCACTTCCTAATAGTTCCCTGTATTTAAAACAAGTCATCATAATGTTATGAGAAAAGAAATCAGGACTCCAAGTTGTGTTCTTAGCCTGCTCACTTCTTAAGTTAGGTGAGACTTTTAAAATTCAATAAATAATAGTTGGTGATTTTTAGGATAGTTGCTTGATTATTTTACTTCTTTGGCAGGCATTAAAGAAATTAAAAGAAATTCAGTAAAAAGCAATAGTAACCATAAAGGGGAGAAGGGTGATCAGTCAAACTTCAGAATCATTTTTAAATGTAAAAACAAAATGGACATTCCACCAACTCAAACCACCTCATCATGGTCTGAGGCCTTGTTGAGTGAGGAAAGAAAACATTTACAGAAGACCTGGAAAGACCTTCAGGCCTGGGACTGAGAAATCCGTGGAAGCTTCATTAGAATGAGTCCTTTATTCATTCAATGGGAAGCCAGGTTATTAAGGAGCACTTTCTGATAGATTAGTAACCAAACTCCCTTGGAGTTATCTCCTAGAATGAGCTTGAATCCAGGGGCTGCAGTAAAAAGAAGTGTGTGGATGGAAATCAGAAGGACAGTTTCCTAAGGCTGTAATGGNCTGCAGTAAAAAGAAGTGTGTGGATGGAAATCAGAAGGACAGTTTCCTAAGGCTGTAATGGTTCTGAAATTTCTACAGGCATAGGGCATGTGCACACACAGGCCTTTGTCTGTCTCTGTGTCCTCTTGGGAGGTACTTTGGTTGGTACCAGACATGGCTGTGGAGCTCTTTAAGCATTGCTAACCATGGGTGGGTCCTTCTGTCTCAGGAGGAAGGACTAAAAGAGGAGTAAAACTCTTGAGAAAATGAACTTAACCAGCTTCTGTAGCACTCAGAATGCTGGGTGCTTTAGTTGTATGTCAGTTCCCAAGCCGAGCTGTCTCCGCCCCGGATAGGTTTTGTTGTTTAAGAAACAGCAACAAACTGAAAGTTCATTCTTTCTGATAACTTAGAACATTTTTTTTTTCTGCTGAGGCAAGAATATTCCATTTTTTTT